CGCTTGGGGTATGTCTCTATCAGTTTTGCACATCGTGCCCATTCTTCCTTGCAAAACAGCTTGAGCTCAGTGAGGTTGAATGGAGAGCGTTTGTGAACAGCAGTCTTCAGCTCTTTCCACAGATTCTCGATTGGATTCAGGTCTGGACTTTGACTTGGCCATTCTAACCCCTGGATACCTCTATTTGTGAACCATTCCATTGTAGATTTGGCTTTATGTTTTGGATCATTGTCCTGTTGGAAGATAAATCTCCGTCCCAGTCTCAGGTCTTTTGCAGACTCCAACAGGTTTTCTTCCAGAATGGTCCTGTATTTGGCTCCATCCATCTCCCCATCAATTTTAGCCATCTTCCCTGTCCCTGCTGAAGAAAAGCAGGCCCAAAGCATGATGCTGCCACCACCATGTTTGACAGTGGGGATGGTGTGTTCAGGGTGATGAGCTGTGTTGCTTTTACGCCAAACATATCGTTTTGCATTGTGGCCAAAAAGTTTGATTTTGGTTTCATCTGACCAGAGCACCTTCTTCCACATGTTTGGTGTGTCTCCCAGGTGGCTTGTGGCAAACTTTAAACAAGACTTTTTATGGATATCTTTGAGAAATGGCTTTCTTTTTGCCACTCTTCCATAAAGGCCAGATTTGTGCAGTGCACGACTGATTGTTGTCCTATGGACAGACTCTCCTATCTCAGCTGTAGTTATCTGCAGTTCATCCAGAGTGATCATGGGCCTCTTGGCTGCATCTCTGATCAGTCTTCTCCTTGTTTGAGATGAAAGTTTGGAGGGACGCCCGGGTCTTGGAATATTTGCAGGGGTCTGATACTCCTTCCATTTCAATATAATTGCTTGCACAGTGCTCCTTGAGATGTTTAAAGCTTGGGAAATCTTTTTGTATCCAAATCCGGCTTTAAACTTCTCCACAACAGTATCTCGGACCTGCCTGGTGTGTTCCTTTGTCTTCATGGTTCTCTCTGCGCTTTAAACAGAACCCTGAGACTATCAAAGAGAAGGTGCATTTATACGGAGACTTGATTACACACAGGTGCATTCTATTTATCATCATCAGTCATTTAGGACAACATTGGATCATTCAAAGATCCTCACTGAACTTCTGGAGTGAGTTTGCTGCACTGAAAGTAAAGGGGCCGAATAATATTGCATGCCCCACTTTTCAGTTTTTTATTTGTTAAAAAAGTTTAAATTATCCAATAATTTTTGTTCCACTTCACGATTGTGTCCCACTTTTTGTTGATTCATGACAAAAAATTTAAATTTTATATCTTTATGTACATTTTGGGGAAAAACGGATGTAATAATATTCACAATGTCAGGTCACAGATAGAAACACATTATTGTCACATACATATTAATCATCATCAGGCCCCAATCTAAAAAAGAAATAGCCTGGATGCCACGGTACTTAAAAATGACAGTCCCATTTCAAATCTAAAATTTGTTTTTGGAAAAGTTGCCAACAAACAACTTACTGAATATCTGATAATGAATAACTCATTTGATATGTTTCAGTCCGGCTTTAGATCCCACCAAAGCGGCACGGTGGCTGAGTGGATAGCACTCTCGCCTCTCAGCAAGAGTGTCCTGGGTTCGAATCCCGGTCGGACCAGGGCCTTTCTGAGTGGAGTTTGTATGTTCTCCCCGTGTCTGCGTAGGTTTCCTCCGGGTACTCCGGTTTCCCCTACCACTAAAAATATGTCCAATAGCTCTGGCATGCGCCTCCTGTACTGGCGACCCCACTCCCATCTCTGTGTGGAGTGAGAGACAAATGCCCAAAATTAACAATTGTAAACCGCTTTGAGACTCAGATCTGCAGTGAAAAGGCGGTATATAAATAAAGATTACTTACACCACAGCACTGAGACCGTTCTTGTGAAGAAACAAATGACATCCACCATAACACAGAAAAAGTCTCCGTGATGCACAAATGTTGAGATCCTCCAGTGTCAGATTACAGCAGTATCTGTTCACGGAGATTCGCCATGGATTTATTATATTATTAATCAGTATTACCTCATCCGCAAATACGTTTGTAGCACTTGTTTACCGTTTGGACGACAAAAGTGTATGTCCAATGTGAATCTCCTGTGTTTGCCACATGTGTCGAGTTCCCTATGCACTGCCTCCACGCCGCAAAAACGCATCTGCCGCTGGACAAACCTGCGTGCATGGTTTGTCACCATTGACTTTGCGTAAACTTGTGCACCAGTGATCCCGGACTGTTCAGTACTTGGTGATATCAGATTGTGCCTTTACTATCAGTGGACAGTGATGGGAATAACGGCGTTACTAGTAACGGCGTTACTAACGCCGTTACTTTTTTCAGTAACGAGTAATCTAACTAATTACTTTGACAGTAACTATAACGCCGTTATCATTTCCGACATCCCGTTACTGCGCGTTACTCAAGACGCACAATGAACGTGATGAGAGAAGGGAGGATGAGAATTGAGAAAACCTCTCAGCAATTATTGGCTGATGTAAATCATATTTCCTTTACAATCTACATGTCTACAGTTGAGAGGATGGCTCATAAATTGTGTTTTTGAAACAAATATGGGTCTTAATCGCGCTCAACCACGGCTTGTATCACCGTGAGGTCAGCCACAGAGGAGCGCTCAGAAGTCGGCTGCATACAATTCCATCGATAAGCTCCTTGCTCTTCCTGGTTTATCTGCTAAGGACAGCAACAGGTTTGGCTAACATACATATAACACATTTTTACATAATCTAAAATGCACATAGGGTAATTTTTCAATTACTATAGGAATGATAAGAAAGAGAGGTGAAGTGTAAGACAGTTGATTTTAGAAATTGGATGCACTCGGCTGCCGCAAAACACAGGAGTTTATGGAGGACACACGCGTTTTGTTTTACTTTTTAAAACTCATTGGACTCATTTCCAAATGGAGGATTACATATCTACGCTCAAACCATTCACTGGATTTAAACAAGGAACTGGTCTGAACCGAAGTGGACTGTGCAGGTCATTTATAAGGTAAGACCCATAACTCATAGTTTTGCGTTTTGTATGAACAAACAATGCGGGCATAAAACATATTTTGCTGTAGCCAAACAAATTGTCCACTTGATTTATATGATGTATATGTTCATCTGATTGGGCTGAAGTCAGTGCTTCACCAGCCTCACCGCTCGTCACCGGTGTTTCCACATTCACAGTGGCGGGCTTTACAGCACAGAGAGAGATGAAGAGTGAACAGGACTTCAGCAGCAAAACAGCCTTTTCTAGATGGAAATATTGGCACTGTTAAAGGTAAAAATGCGCACGTCGGGTGCACATTATGTTCCAGAACAAAACGAAAAAGTAACGCAATAGTTACTTTTACTGGTAACTAGTTACTTTTATAGTGGAGTAACTCCGTTAGTAACTCAGTTACTTTTTGGGAGAAGTAACTAGTAACTATAACTAATTACTTTTTCAAAGTAACGTGCCCAACACTGTCAGTGGAGCACATAAAAACCTTTCTTCAACCAAAAAGTAGAGTATAATTTGTTTTCAGGGCATTTCTCAAACTTATTATGTACATTTCGTTGTCATAGCCATATTGGCTTTGATTTATTCCAGGTTCCGACTGACTGTGTTCATGCAGATTTATTTTCTGGCCACAAGAATTTGTGGGGCCAGTGATCATGTGATCATTTCCATCAACCCTGATTTTACTGGTCCTCAGTGTTTGAGTGAGATTTCAGACAAAAAGGATCAATGCATTATTAAATATCCAATTTAGCAAGTCAAAACATCAAATCAACATATTTTTGAACAGCACTAAATCATAACAGCAAACGCCTTGAAGTATAAATTAAAGTAGTCTTTATTTGTCGAGGACTTGTCAAAGACAAGATCTAAATATTATGCAGGATGTGACAGCAGCAGCTTTATCTTGTTCCACTGCCTGAGACAGTTGTTTGACGTAACTTTTGAGTGTTGCACAAGTTCACCACAGCTGTGCTCTGTCCCACAGGCAAAGACCGTGTCAAGACCAAGTCCTTTTTTTTTATATATTATTTTTGCGCATTATTGTTGTGATGTGTGTGTGACCAGGACATTAGACCGGGAGCCCACTCCAGGGTGTGGACGGACAACATGGACGGGGCCCTCAATGTTTTTGCTTTAAATGGCCTCTACATGGCCCAGTGTGTATTTGGCCCAAGCCAAAATGTAAATAAAAATGAGGAAAATGTGAAACGTTGCCCTACAGACACAGATCATTGGATTAGGCCAATACATTGCAAGCAAAATAGTGATTTCATTAAGCCCAGATTTCCTCGCACTAAGAAATTGTTTTGGTATGCAGGTTTTAGAAATTAACCAAAGCCTCAAGGCAATTGCTTCAGCCAACACGGGCCGTTACAAGAACCAAAATAATGTTCACCTATCTTCCACAGAAGTAGATGTGTAGACAGACCAATCACATGGCTATCCTTGCAGTAGCTTGGCCGTACCTCAGGGGACTTGATGCATGCAAACAAACACAGGAGATTCACATTGGACATACACTTTTTTCATCCAAATTGTAAACAAGTGCTAACGTATGCGCGGATGAGGAAATACTTATTCATAAATAATAATAATAAATCCATGGCACATCTCCGTGAACTGATGCTGCTGTAATCTGGAGGATCTCAACATTTGTGCGAGATGCGGAGCTGGACTTGTGTTGAGAGCAGGACTCACTGAGACTTTTTCTGTGTTATGGTGGATGTCGTTTGTTTCTTCACAAGAGTGGTCTCAGTGCTGTGGTGGGATCTAAAGCCGGACTGGAACATATCAAAATAGTTATACATTATCAGATATTCAGTAACTATTCTGGGAGATTTGAAATAAGACAGTCATTTTTTAAGTACCGTGGCATCCAGGCTACTTTTTTTTTTAGAAGGGGCCTGATGATGATTAATGATTTTCCCTACTGGCACTTTCCTTGGAGTTATTGCTGTAGCTTTCTCAACCGTTTCCAAACATGTCTAGACATGTTCCTCCACACTCCTCCACAGACCTCCACACTCCTTCACAGACCTCCACACTCCTCCACACTCCTTCACAGACCTCCACACTCCTCCACAGACCTCCAGTGGACCATGGACACAGCTGGTTTCTTGGTGCTGCTGCTGAGGTCCTCTTTTCTTCTCTTCTGTTCATCTGACATTGACTCAGTGAGAGAGATGGGAGCTGCACTGGCTGCACAGCAAGTCCAGATCAAACAACTGCAGGAGGAAAACCTGGAAAACAAAGTCCAGATGGAGAAAGTGCTGGAGAAAAACAAAGTTAATAATGTTATAATTAAACTTTGATGTATTACTCCCTTTTTAAAAGTTGCATGAATTGACACGCACTGCACCACATGGTAAAGCAGGTGGACCAGTTTTTACTGTGGAGTCAGGGCAGTGCTGCTTGCCTGAGGGATCCAGAGCTGAATGTGGATGAAGGAGTGTGGGATCAGAACTTCTTCTTGTAGTCCACACTATGGAAGTGATTAACGACTGTAGATAGATATTGTCTGAATAAACACATGTAGCTAAGGGCCCATATTACGCGTTTTGACTTTTCTCTGCTTTAAACATGATTACAGTGCTATTTGGCCTCATACACATGCCCAGAGTAGTTTTTTCATTGATTCTGTCAATCTTTAGTGAGAGAACGATCTTTCTCCTTCCCCCTCGAGAGGCACAGAAACGCTCGGGTCCACTTCAGTGACGAAAACCACTCTGATGACGCGCATAAGCTCGTTTGCTTTGTATTTAAAATGGTTTTTAAATACTTTTGTCAAAACGGGGTAAACAATAAACAATAAGTATGCTGTTTGTTGTCAAAAATAATAAAAATAGAAATAATAGTAAAAGCCGGCGGGAGGTGATTGATGTAAACTGCGAATCAGAGCGCGCAGCCAGCTCCCGAGTCCGGCGCATGTGGTTTGGTCCCGCAGACACCACATGCTACTGTTTTTCTGCTTTTGTCAGCAACTATAAGTGTTAGGATCACGTCAACCCAAAACACGATAAAACGTGTTTTGGGTGAAAAGAGATTATGCACTATTTTGCCCCGAAAAGGAAGAAAGCGGCTTGACTTTTTTCATCTGTTCATCTCATGGATCTATTTTAATACCGGTTCATCTGCGACACTTCACTGAGACTGTTCCAGAACTACAGGGACAATGGAACTGGACTTACTCAAAAGCTGATCTGGAAACATGTGTTATTCCTACAATAAACGACCTAACACGGACCCTCTGATCTGTGAGTACAGTGATGCTAACTCGCCGAATACTTCTGTAAACTAAATCTATTTCTATCTACTGCTACTACTGCTACTACTACTATCTGCTCTATTTGTGCATCAAGGACACAGGGCTCGATGTGACGGATTGCCATTGTTGGAAAAAAGTGTATTATTTATTATTTATTTACGCTACTCCATCTCTGCTGCTGTGACCTGAAGGGCTGTGGCTGATTATTACTATAGTTATCTTTTTTTTAGAATGATCAATTTTCTTTTTTCTTTTTGCTACTACTGGACACCTGAATTTCTCTATCGGGGGATCAATAAAGTATCTATCTATAAACAACTCAGAGCGTGATGCTATGTCACCGTGCGGGCGGGGGGAGGCGGGCTCACAGACAGAGGAGCAGACTCTTCTCTGAATCAGCTCGTTTGAGTCGAGGTGACGTCACCTCTTTACAAGAGATGGCTATAATCTCAAAAGTTTTGAGTGTTGTGTGGTGTATCACTCATATAATTATCACACATGAGCATAGGATTGACTGTGAAACATGAAGAAAAGCGAAATATAAGAACATTAATTTTAAACACTTCTAACAAACTAACTAAAATTAGAAGTGGCAACCAGTCGGGATCTAGATATTTGAATTTAAGATGTAAGGAACTGCATGCTGTACACTGTATGTGGAGAACATTAGATTTACTACTACTAATAAATACATTTTTCATTGTGGATGAGATTAGACTTTATTATCTCACAATGGAGATGTGGCACAAGAAAACCCACGAGCATTGGGCGGGTACCACATGTCCAAAAGTGAAGTCAAAGAGGTCAAACATCCCCAACCCCCATTGTTCAAAAGATATGAGTCCCCGGGGAAACTGTTTAAGATATGGACATGTTTATGCTTATTTTGAAAGTCAGAAATGTGCTTTTATCCTATTATTTTGACACATTAGTCTTTACAGTGTGGTAATGAAAAGAAGACACAGGTCCAAACTACACCCACCATTGTCTGGAGACTGGACACAGGTCTCAGAGAGTGGACTCAGGTCTGAGAGAGAGTGGACTCAGGTCTCAGAGAGTGGACTCAGGTCTGAGAGAGAGTGGACTCAGGTCTCAGAGAGTGGACTCAGGTCTGAGAGAGAGTGGACTCAGGTCTCAGAGAGTGGACTCAGGTCTGAGAGAGAGTGGACTCAGGTCTCAGAGAGTGGACTCAGGTCTGAGAGAGAGTGGACTCAGGTCTCAGAGAGTGGACTCAGGTCTGAGAGAGAGTGGACTCAGGTCTCAGAGAGTGGACTCAGGTCTCAGAGAGTGGACTCAGGTCTCAGAGAGTGGACTCAGGTCTGAGAGAGAGTGGACTCAGGTCTCAGAGAGTGGACTCAGGTCTGAGAGAGAGTGGACTCAGGTCTCAGAGAGTGGACTCAGGTCTGAGAGAGAGTGGACTCAGGTCTCAGAGAGTGGACTCAGGTCTGAGAGAGGGTGGACTCAGGTCTCAGAGAGTGGACTCAGGTCTGAGAGAGAGTGGACTCAGGTCTCAGAGAGTGGACTCAGGTCTGAGAGAGAGTGGACTCAGGTCTCAGAGAGTGGACTCAGGTCTGAGAGAGAGTGGACTCAGGTCTCAGAGAGTGGACTCAGGTGTGAGAGAGAGTGGACATAGAGCCGTGGAGAAGGAAGTGGAGCAGTGTCTGAGATCCAGCCGACGCTCTGCTCTGGGTGTGGCGCCTGCAGCTTGTACTGAGTGCGGTGGTATCTCAGGCATTAATTGCAAAAAGTCTTTTCATTTGAACCCATGCAGAGATGAGCCATTCCAAACCAGATGTGGTGGATCAGGAATCCCCTCAGGACGTGGGCGGGTGGTGAGGTTACACATCCAACCGTCAAGTCTAAAAATATAACATCAAGGAGCAATGAGAAGACATCTGTTTAAACTTCCACTGGTGGGATTTCAGTGTGTTTTAAACTATTTTACTGATCTAACACCATTCATCTGGATTTGTATTATAGAATTGAGAATTGTATTATAACAATCCAGGACCAGTCCAAGACCAGTCCAGGACTAGCACCTCAGAGAAAAGGGGCTTTAACACTATAACTCCCAGAGCAGTCAAATTGATGGCCTTTGGTTTTTGGAAGTAAAATAACTCTGAATGTAGATTTTGTCATAACGTAGGGACTTTTTCTGTATCTATTTGTCATGTATTATCAGTTTAAACAAAGCACTTACATTTTTATTCAATTTCACAGTGACAATTATGACCTGTACTTTTCAGCTTGTTTATGTACTTGTCTGGTAATGGCAAATAAATTGAATCTGAATCTTGTCCACCGCAGAATACATAGTTAGGTTTACTTTTGAATGTGCTGGAAAACAGAAACAAGTCCTAAGTAGCCCTGAAACAGCTGTTGTTCTGAGCTTTTCAATTTTTGTTTTTATTTTATTGCTTTTTCTACTTGAGATGTTGCTGCAGTACAGTGTTCATGGTTTTGCACTGGTCCAGACCAGAGCAGAGAGGATTCATGGTCCGAACCAAGCGGATCAGGTGAAAATCCACTGGAGGAATGCTAATGAAGCATTCAGAATTTTACTTTAGACAAGAACAGAGAAAATGGTCTAGACCAAGTGGCTACTCCACCTTATGATCCGTCCTGCTCCACCCAGAGGCTACTTCATCTCTGCTGCTGTGACCTGTCCTGCGACATGGGCGACTCCCAGCTCCTGTCAGTCCCATCAGCCTCAGTGATGCACAAACGTCAGAGCGGAGAAGGCTTTCCTAGCACAGTCACTGTTGCATGCAAACTCCCCCAGCAGCTCTTTGTGAGGCGTTGTACTATGGGGAATCAGCAGCAGCGTGAAGAGCCGGGCTATAATGGGAGAGGGTGAAGGATCAGGTGTCAGCACTGTGGGGAAAGAAGCTCCAGTGATGATTGGGGTGTGAGGAGTGTGGGTGCTAAATGTGCTTCGGAAATGTTGATAAATATGGAATATGATGGAGAAACAACATTTGAGTTTGAGCTCAGTTCTTACCAGTGCCTTCTGCCAAAATGCAAGTTTAGCCATGAATACGTAGTTGGTTTTATTATATGACTTGGACCGTGCGCGCGCTCTGATTGGCTGATTTGCGGTCTGATATTTTCCCATCTCGGACTGTTATCATGACAATTGGTCCGCAGCGCGTATCACATTTGATATCTTTCCACGGGCCGTTACCATGACAATCGGTCCGCAGCGCGTATCACACTAAAAACACGATAAGGAAAACCAAGTTGGACATGAACATACTTGACAAATATCTCAAAAGCATTGGTAAAGACACAGAAGAGAGTCATATAATAAAACATTCATTAACCTCGCTTGCTCGGTCTGTACAGAGAATTATCAGACCTTGGCCTGATATTTCTCTGTACAGACCTTGCGCTCGGTTAATAAGCCGGTAATATTTACTTCTGCTTCCGTCCCGATTCCGTATACCGCTCTGCAACGGGTTAGCACTAGATCATATACAGAATCAGGACGGAAGCGGAAGTAAATACAATCAACTACCTAAACTTAACCAGCCACTCCCATAGAATAACCCCAACCCACCCTTAACCCTAACCTTAACCATCTTACTCAGACACCTAAAACTTTACCAGCCACCACTTAAGGACTTTTTTTCCATATAACCCCCTTAACCATAACCCTTTCACTTGGACGCCCAAAACGTAACCAGTCACCACCCCAAAGATTTATCTGAGACGTCTTTTTCATGTCACTATAATGACGTCTGCCGCACCTAATGATATAGAAATTTAAAAAAAAATGAAAAAAAAGCTGCGCGGTGTTCACTGTGCACTCGAGAATTTTAAAACTTTCAAAACAATTTAACCAAAAGTCAAACCCAATCTTCTGGGGGGAGTTCTATAATACGGCCGCTGAACTACGATCCTAACCTAATTCTGAGGGGTCCAAACAACCATTTCAATAATGGTTTATGTGAAAAATAAATAAAACTACCTTTATGTAATTTTTCATAGTTCATTGTTTTTTTTACAGCGTATCTACAGTTAATATTATGTATTCATGATTTACAG